TGTGCAATATTTCATTTATACTAAATGTATTATTTTTGCATTATTTTTCACTTGTTTTGTATGTAGTTATTGTTTTTGGTTTTATTTTGTTTTGTTTTTTTGTTGATGGTTTTTTTTTGGTGTGCATATAAGTGTATTTATTATTTTGTTTTATATCTGGTTTTGAGCTTAGATTGGTGGTTGTAGTTCTCTTTTCAACTGCGGGACAATATTGGAGGGGAGTAATCCTAATCCCTGGTTGTCCTTCTGGCCTGCGCTGGGAATTGTATCAGAGTGTTGTTGCGGTAACTGCAATAGATCAGGGCCAGTGATGGAGATCGAACAGGGCCAAGAAGTTCTCCCCATTGGTTTGGACCCAGTGCAGGAGAATGGGCTGGTGGGTGAGGAAGATTCGTGGTCTCCCACCGGCCATGCAGCCCCTCTCCCGCTTACTACACCAAGGTGGTAGCCTTATGGCAAATCTGGCCCTGAGGATACTGTCAAATACTAAAGGTACAGATTCGTTTTTCTCTTTTTGTTTTGTTTTGTTTTTTAAACAATCTATATTTTTTTGAAGCTTGATAAAAGGAATATTATATTAAAAAACTTTTTTGATGTGACAATTGTAACTTAAAGGACCACTTCACACCCCAAATGAATTTCAGCTTGCGGAAGTGCTTTATGTGTGAGGAATATCCTAGTTTAAACCCAGTTTGTAAAAGTGACCATTTCTATGAGAAATCAGCACTTTTATAAATTAACTATGGAACTCAATCAAACAGCCAGAGAGGTTTGCAACCTCCTTTCGTTAGCTCCCCTGAGGCAACAGTGATTATCTTTTTATTTTTTTTTTAAAAATTCAATTTCGGCAGTGGAGTGTTCCATTGATGACCTTCCATTAGTAAATATACCCTCTGTGGGGTGAGGCAAATTATTTTAGCATTACATAGATGTGCTTTACTGGGAGATGAAGCAGAGACAGAATGAGAGAGATGAAGCCAACCATGAATTCAACGTTATTTCACCATAAATACACATAAACTCCTAAAATAAGCTGAAAGAAACATTTATTGGACCCTGCATCATTGCAGCATCAGGTACACTTTTTCAATGACAACGGTCAACTAAACTGCACTATAGTGGTGTTGTAGTCTTTTTAAAGATGTAACATCATCATGATGTCGCTGCAATGGTGGAGATCTTTTCATAGTCGACATTTGCAAGCGGACCTTTTTAAAGTGAATCGAAAATAGAGATATAACACTAATATCAGTAAATCTTTTAGCTTCCTGTATAGTAAATTACAGAGAATTAACTTCTTTGCAGGAAGACTGATCTGATAAATGCTTGAGAAAGTCATACCTCCACTACATGAGGACCTGGGCAGGAGTGGCTATGAAGGAATGTAGAACAAAACATTTTACACGGAACAAGATGGCATAAAACATGTTAACTGCCGGGAAGACAAGCTCATAATAGATGCAATGGTAAAAGGGACAGTCTACACAACACGAACTATAAAACATAACTGTGACAAACTGCCATTTGCCACTGGGCATTGGAGAGGACTGATTGCCAGCCTCCTGCCACATGACTATGGCCCTGGGATATATGGCATTTGAAAACACTATTTGTGCCCTGTGACGAAACTGGAGATAGTGCACAAATATGACTATTGTCCATATTTTTTATGATTCCCTTTGTTGCACTGTTCCCCATGTGTTTCATCTGTTGGTTCGGCTGGATAGACTATCAGACAAACTGTGGAGTTACTGGGTGGCCACCATTTCATGTATCAGAGGCATATGGTGAGAACAATGGATGAAGCACATGGTGAGAACAATGGATGAAGCACATGGTGAGAACAATGGATGGCGGCCATTTTAACTCACAGACACTGTTTGGACTTTTCTACATGGTGCCATCTCGCGGGTATTTGGTGCACAAAGACATCGTGCAGTAGTTTTAAACTATACAACAGGGGACACATTATACAGTAATTATTTTTCATATAGCCTGTATATGTTCTGCGGAATCTGCATTAAACCGTATCTTCCAAATGGGGTTATTGCATGTTTTGGGGTCCCTGTGATATGTTTTATAATACTGTATTTTTCTGCCAGTGATAATTAAGTTAGTCTATTGTCTGGAGATAATTGCATCACAAGCAGAGGGGAGGATTTCTTCTGTTAGTGGTTTACTTTATTGTACGTGTTGTAATATTTTTATTGGTTCTTCTGAAAAACCCTGTGGGCGGTCCTGTATGTGTAAGACCTCCATAAAAGAAGGCCCTTTGGTGCTAATTAAACACAGTTCTTCTTTACCCTTCAAAACGTAGCCTTGTCTCTTTATTGGAGGGAACTGCTATAATCACACTGGGGATTGCTATGCTCTGCATACTCCCTTGAGCTTTAATCACTTAGCTCTTTTAAGAGCTTGTTCCTGATACGCTCTCCTGGAGGAGAGGTCTTCCCCACACGGTCCTTGAGGACAGAAGCTGATCCAGGGTGGACAGAAGACAGCGAGACTCCAGTTAAGCTACGGCGGTGGTGGAGTCTGCAGTGGTTGTGGCGTCCGGTGCGGTGCTTGTGATCCTCGTGCAGGCTAGGAAGCGTCCATCAATGGAAGGTACTCAGTCGTAGTACGGGGAGTTCCGTTACAATAACAAAAACGCTTTTATAGGTTTATTTACTAAGAAGAGAATACATTGTGATTTTTTATTTTAAAGGTTACTCCAAGCACCATGACCACTTCAGTATGTGCAGTGTTTCGCTATGAAAAGCTCCACATACTGAGTTTAAACACTTTGCTGCCAGAAGTGTAACTCCATCATTGTGGCATTATTACAAGAGTTCTTGGATGGGCTAATATCAATTCTGTCAAAAACAGAAAAGATATAGGTCGCGCTATAGCAAATAAATATAAAATATTATAATACACTAAAAACTATAAAATAAGAACAAATGAATAATAAATAGTCCAAATACTTGGTATGCTTATAATAAATTCCAATGGATAGATGAAAATATCAATGCTTAGTGTCCATCTCTTACTGTTTGTGGCACAGGAGTGGTATATTCAATGGAAAGACCAGGATCTTCTAAAGTAGATGTAGATGTAGTCTTGATTCAGTGGAAACCATGAAAAATAAAAAGAACAGGAAAAATCCAATAGTGTAGATTGTCTGTAGATAACTGAAAGTATGGAGAATAATATTCCTTTATTAATACAGTAGAAAATATAAATAATAGCCAGTTGGCTATTATTTATATTTTCTACTGTATTAATAAAGGAATATTGGCCTTTTATCATAATTTTGCCATATACCCTTTTTTTTTTTTTTATTATTTTATTTTATTTTACTAATTTCCTGGTACCTGATCACTCTTTACCTTGGAGTCTACATACAACCAAGAATCCTAGGTGGGGATTGTACCACCTATGCGAGTATACTGAGCAGTTTATCCTGCTCATCCGAATGTGAGTATTTTTATTTCTTTATTTTACTCATTTTTATTTATCCAGTGAGCACTATATTGTGTTTTTTATTTCTTTTCTCATACGGAGGAACTATCTTCACCTATATCCTACCAGTGGGGGACAAACGCCACTGAATGCCATATACACTAGAGCGAGTTTATGCTCTGAAATAGGTGAGTGTACTACCTCCCTATTATTCTCCATACTTTCAGTTATCTACAGACAATCTACACTATTGGATTTTTCCTGTTCTTTTTATTTTTCATGGTTTCCACTGAATCAAGACTACATCTACATCTACTTTAGAAGATCCTGGTCTTTCCATTGAATATACCACTCCTGTGCCACAAACAGTAAGAGATGGACACTAAGCATTGATATTTTCATCTATCCATTGGAATTTATTATAAGCATACCAAGTATTTGGACTATTTATTATTCATTTGTTCTTATTTTATAGTTTTTAGTGTATTATAATATTTTATATTTATTTGCTATAGCGCGACCTATATCTTTTCTGTTTTTGCCATTTCTCCTTTGAGGATTCTAGAGGGAACCTCATATCTATAGGTTGCAGCTATCTACTTGTTTCTAACCTCCTAGTATATCACACAGCGCTGATCCATTTCCCTTTAATATCAATTCTGTGCATATTTCTATGCACAGATTTGCATTTATTGGCTGAGTGGTCAGCTAATGCTCTCAGGTCATGAATGCCTGGTACCCAGCTTCTGCAGCTCTGCAGTATGTGGGTAAATTCTACAATAACATTGACCTCTATATTTGGAAGACATTAGTGACTAAATGACATGTAAAAGCACAAAAGTCTGCCCATTTAATAGCTTAAGCGGTCTACTTTTGCAACTGGTGTGTCAGGATGGGCTTGAAGGGCAGTTTGGGCTTCTATTTTTTCATAAACGTACCAAGTGCCCAGCAAATCAGTGAAAACTGTAAAACTGAACTTGGCATGTCTGTAACTTTATCCTATACATTCTCAAAAATCTGGCATATGTTTCTGTGGGGGTATGGATGTACCCTGGAGCAGTAGCAGAATATAAATGTGTTTTTTATGGTAGTGGGACACACAAAGTCTGTGACATTCCACACAAAATTAAATGTAGGGAATATTACAGACTTTGTGTATAGGGAAAATATATATCCAGGTCCCCAAATCTAGATAGAGCAGATTTTTTTAAAATAATTCCTGTCCAAAATAGAGGTATATGATGTCACTAATAATACAGGACATGTTCAAAACTCTCTTAGCCCTGAAATGAGAGCATTTGGCACCAGGTTTTTGCCGATTTTACAAGGAAAGTTTCTCTTTTGTAAAGAGAACTTTGTTTAGTCTCCACACCATGGCAGTCAGTTTGCGGAGAGGTCAGGATATGGTTGTGGTTAAGAGTTGAGGTTAGAGGAAAGAGCATAGTATTTATTCTTTAGGAAATTAAATGAAATTTATCCTTTTTTGAAGAAAACATGAGGTTTCATAATTCCTAGAAAAAAAATATTGCAATAATTGCATGATTAATTAAATTCACCTTTTCTGAAACACTTTTATGAATCTTCTGCTTTTCATTCTTGGGAAACTGCCCATGCCAAGAGGAACTCAGGGAGAAACTTGCTGATTTTTTGTGTTTGCTGGTAGAATAGGAAATTTTATTTGTTTCCATCTGACAAGTATCACAATGAGGAATGTTGCATGACTTATGCTCCATTATAGAGGAGGTATTACCAGGTACTAGAAGGTTATCCTGGGATTTGTGGAATGATTTGGTTCCTGTGGATGACAGAGAAAAAATAAAATATTAGTATCAACACTACAAAAGATAATAATGGTTTGTGCATCAATGGACTGCATAAGAGCTTGCCTGATATAACAAGAAAAATATAATACTGCATTTATCAAGTAGGGAAATATATTGATTTTGGTAAATTTATTTGAAGTTCATTCCAATATAGTTATTAGTATTTTTGTTCCCATACTCCTGTCAACCACTGTGTGTCAGCAGCACATTGGTCATGGTTGGATGTCTCCTACACACACTATAAGGACACACTATAAGGACAAACGTATTGAGACACACCTCTTAATGTCTTAAAGACATGGATGGAGGAGTTTGCTGTGGAAGAACTGGATTGGCCCACATCTGACCTTAACTCATTCAAACACTTTTGGGTTGAACTGGAATGGAAACTGCGAGCCAGGCCTTCTTGTTCAACATCACTGCCTGACCTCACAAATGCTGTAGTGCATGAATAGGCAAAAATTCCCATAGAAACAAACCAAAACCTTGTGGAAAGCCTTCCCTAGAAGGATCAAAGATGTTATAGCTGCAAAGAGGAAACCAACTATATATTAATGTCTGTGTATTTAGAATGTAATGTCATACAATCTCTGTTGGTGTAATGGTCAGGTGCACCAATGCGTGGTTCATATAGTTTATGTCTCTGTGTAAATTAGAGAGACTTACTGGATACCACACTCAGCAAATAACCCAGGTGCTCTGAAGCCAGAGCTGGCCAGGCCTCACTTCCAAGATATGCAGAATAAATAACGGTTCAGGCACTCCAGGACAACAGATCCCCAATAAAGCTGCTATTTCTGTTATCCCGGAGTGTCTTTATTCTGCATATCTGTGTAAATTACAGTCATAATTAGGTTACTATTACCTGATGATATATCATGCAGATACATTTGAAGAATACTCCCTTAGTTTGTGTATCCACTGATCATTTCTGCAAAATGATAACATTATGTTATGATGAAAAATAATGATATGCATCATTTTGACTTATTCATACCTTCCACAGTTTTGTTTTTGCGTCCCACACACTTTCCAGCAATCAGCTCATTGATACAGGTGGAGGGCACATGGAAAGGGGTGGTACATTCACTGTCTCCTATTTTCCTAACTTGCCACCAGTCATTGTCAAGCTTGCGTAGCAATACAAGAATATCCCCTTCTTTCAAGCAGATGTTGCTCCCATCAGAAATATGAAAGGTGTAATTTCTGTGAACAGTTAGAATGACTGGTTTGGTCGACGGGCTAGATCTCTTCCAGCTTCGGCCATCCAGCTTCCAAAGTCCTGAAAACATCTCAAGATAACCTACAAAAAGTTTGAGAGAACACAGTTACTGGTAAATATATTTCTCCCTAGCTATAAAGTTATACGTTACAAAAACAACATAGTGCATAATGGCTGCACCTTGTCTCTCTAAATATGGAGGAGATGGAAGTCAGTCCAAATTGTGCATGTGCCTTGCTCATGCAGTATGCACATCTTGGACAAAACATATTGGGCCTAACAGGAGCTTCTGCTCTCTATAGAACAAGAGAAGTGTGAGGGACTGGTGCCTGGCAGACACCAGATAAGAACTCAAACCATTAACTAACAGTATTACTACTTACATGGGGGGGTGCCAGAGGTACATGGTAGTAGTGGTGCATGGTAGTAGTTATGTAGTTATGGTGCTTCAAGTGTTCCTTTAACTAAACCATCTTGTTTAATAAAATCAATGGACAAATGAAATGTGTACTACTTTTTCATATTTTCTCTGGCTAGCATAAACTATTTGGCTCCTCCAATAATCTGAAAAGTCAAGATCCCAATGACTGGGATGTGATCAAAACTGTGCATAATTGTAACAAGTAGTGGTATTGATTAAGGCAAGCTGGCGTTGTTTAATTGGTAGATACTGTAAAGCCAGTTGTTTCTTTGTAAACAGATTTCAATACTCATGCATTGCTTGTGCCATCTTCAGGACACATCATGAGTCCGGACGCTAACGATACAATGGAATATGCACTATCGCTTATAATGATGGTGTTAGCGAAACCAAAAACCACTCTTTGTTCAAGTTTTATATTACAACTGTCAAAACTTGTTTTGTTTTTTTGTGTATGGTGACGTTCTTGAGTTTCATCTAAAATAATGGTTTTCTATTTCATAGAGAATTACTATAGAGGTCATTCATATTCTGTATTCTCTCTGCACATGGATACAAATACATTTAGAGATTGAACTTCCTGTTAGCAATCACGGGATTTGTGATTTGTTCCTTTCTTTGCTTACTAATAATATTTGCTGTGAGTCGGACACATTTAAAGAAAATTCTGTTATGAATTTTCTTTAATAATAATATCATGGGACAGCAGATAACAATGGATGACAGAGAAAGGGTTACTAGAGAAGTGGGCGGATAACAGGGATTTGCAGGGAAGGGGTTAACAGTGGGTAGAGAGGTTGGCTGGCACGGGCTGGAGAGGAAGGGGTTAACAGTGGGATGGGTAGATAACAAGGACTGGCAGGGAAGGGGTTAGCATAGCAGCAGGATGGCGGATAACAGGGACTGGGAGGAAAGGGGTTAGCAGTAGGATGGCGGATAACAGGGACTGGCAGGGAAGGGGTTACCATCAGGATGGGTGAATGGCAGGGACTGTCAGGAAAGAGGTTGCCAGTGGGAATGGCGGAAACAGGGACTGGCATTGAAGTGGTTAACAGTGGGTAGAGAGGCTGTCTTACAGGGGCTGGAGCAGAGGAGCTATCAGTGGGTAGTGAGGTTGAATGACAGGGGCTGGAGGGCAAGGGGTTAACAGAGGGCTGGAAGGGAATCTATTACTTGAACTACAGAGAGGAAGGAGAGGAGCACATATGGGGTGGCTGGGAACATGGGGTGGGCAATATCAAAGAAAGGAGGAAGGGAAGGAGAACAGAATAAGGCTACACCAAAGCTATGAAATAAAGAACAAAGAAAAGTGAAGGCAAAAGAGTAACAAAAACCATATTACATACACATACTGTTATTAGCTATAGCCTTTTCTCTGCAGTGCAGTCTGTGCAATGAGCATTCCTTATACTAGAGAAGACATTCTTCTATTGTCATTGGCTGAAAAGGGTATGTTTCCTTCAGAGACTGGGAATCAGGAACATGTTGAAATGTGAGTGGGGCCTGGCTAAGGAGGCTGGGTTATACTGTTAAAATCAGCAAAACATTTTATAGCACTGCAGAAAAACTACATAGAATTGAAAGAAAAGAAACAAACCAGAGATATTTGAGCTTATTCGGTTTAATTTAAGCTTAACTTGTTTAGCTGCCTGGTGTGTCCCTTTAAGGACGAACGCAATTATCCAAGTTCTGAATCAAAACAAAACTTTTTAACTGTGAATGTCATAATACTGTTAGTTTTTACTGCAATAAAACACATATGCTGTGATAATCCACAAGTACAACGATGTCCCCCATGTGCAGGTTTCATAGTGTTTTGGAAAGTTACAGTGTCAAAAAAAGAGCTTGTACATTTCAATCTTTACACATTGAAATTTGCCAGATTGATTTAGCAGCCCAGGAAAGAAAATTACCCCCATCATAGCATATCATTTGTAAAGGTAGACAAATAATGGTAGTCCAGTATATTTTATTAACCACATTTTTTTAAGTAGTCACAAACCCTGGCTAAACTTAGTGTTCATATTAGCCTATACTAAGGTAAAATCTTCTATTGCACATCAATATAATTTTGGGGGGGTAAAGCTGGTTAAGAGAGAAGAGTAGTAGGCATTAAGATGGCATAATGGGAAGAGGTGGAAAGGATAAAAGTGGACCTGAGATGATATGGGAACATTAGATGATGTTGGAATATAAATTGATCACTTGGATGTTGAAATTATAGTGTATATAGCATGAAGAAAATAAAGGAGTGCGGAAGATAAATAAGAGAGGAAATAATGCTTAATAAGGAATAAATTAAAGTACTAAAATAATGCTGGAGGTGGAGAGATAAGAGCAGGGTTGAGATATGGATGGGGGATGTTAAATGAGAAATGCAAAGGTTCAAGGGCTAAGGCAATTATGCTGGGTGTTGAGAAACCTAAGTTGTGTGTAGTGGTTATGGAAAAAAGACTAAAAAAAGAATTAAAAATCACATGCACCTGAGGAAAACCTACTTATAGGTCGAAGCGCATTGTGCAATATACTTATACTTGTCAAATGTGCAATAAAATGTATTTTACCTAAGCTAGTTCCGGAGTACCTGGCAAAGAAAACCACTGCATCTGGTGGGACCTGGCTTTCAGTATACCTGTTCTCTATTGAGAAATCGCCTACACCGTCAGAGCTAACTTCTAAGTGGCTCTAAAACTTGTGTGTTCCAAGTTGTCTTGATTACTCAGTATATATAAATATACTACACTATGATGTGTTTTTATATTGTGTATTGTACAGGTTTTTTCATGTGATTTGGAATTGATGTTTATTACTAAACATCAATTCGAGTCACCTTGATCTTTTAAAAAGAATGTTGTAGGTATTAGGTTTTTCAAATCAGCTATTTTTAGCGACCCAATAATTTTCAATAAAGCTCATAAAGTGCTGTTTAACAGAATGCAGAATTGTCACATATTCATCCGCTTATAGAAATGTGGTTAATGACATTTACTGTCCACACAGGAAAAGTTGTGCCAAGCAGCAACCTAATCCACAGAAGGGTTAATGCTGAGAAGTAATTGTGCAAATGAAACCTGGTGTCATGTATTCATCCGCTTAGAGAAAAGTGATTAATGACATTTACTGTCCACACAGGAAAAGTTGTGCCAAGCAGCAACCTAATCCACAGAAGGGTTAATGCTGAGCAGCAATTATGCAAATGAAACCTGGTAACTGACTTTGGGGTCAAAGGCCGGTTACAGCCTATCAGAACTAAAGGAGGGGTATTTAGGCCCAGTTCTCAGCCTGCTCAGTGCCCTGTCGTGGTTTCCCTTGTGGTTGTCTGAGAGCGCGTTCCTGTTTATAGTTTTCTACCTGGTTTTTGACTTTGGCTTTGTTTATTGACTTCTCTATATTCTGGTATCCTGACTCCTGGCTTTCCTCATCGCTGTGTCCCTTTCTGTGTTCCCTGACCTCGGCTAGTATTTTTGACTATTCTTTGTACGTTAAATCCGGCCATTCTAAGGACCGGTAATACGTTACTTATTTGTCATCCGTGCTGTACAGTTCTACGTGCTGGATCAAACAGTAATCCTGACATTACGACATGGCCATAGATCCTGTAGAACTGTGTCAGCACATAGCTGCTTGCGAGAGGAAATTAGAGGAGAATGATCACCGCATGGATCAATTCACTCAGGCTTTAAGTACGCTTCTCGCTAGAACGGAGCATCTGCAGCCTGCAGCGTCTCCTCCTATAGCACCTCTACCCTGTGTACCTCCACCCACTGTTAATAGGACTCCTTGCATCTCCTTATCACCATCCCTACAGTTTGATGGCAATATCCAGGAATGCAGGGGTTTTCTTAATCAGGTGGAGTACCATTTTGAGGCCTCACCAGGGTCATTCCCCACGGACAGAGCAAGAATTGGTTATCTAATGAATCAATTAAAGGGCAAGGCCCTTGCCTGGGCTAATCCGTTGTGGGAGAGTAATCGGAGCATAGCTCATAATTACCAGGAATTCCTTGCCGAATTCAAGCTCACGTTTGAGCCATTGGGTAGAGAGGATGACGCCTCCACTGCCCTAATGCACATCAGACAAGGTAACCGGTCTATCTCGGATTATGCTATTGAATTCCGTACCTTAGCTTCCGAGGTAGACTGGACTAACAATGGGTTAATCTCAGCATTCAAAAAGGGTCTCTCAGAGACTATACTAGATGAGATAGCCGCTAAAGAATTACCTAAGAGTCTTAACGAATTTATTACGTTTGTCATGCATATTGATAATAGGTTAAGACTCAGAGAAGTCACCAGAAGCAAGACCAGACGTACGGCTATGTCCCTAGCACCTCAATTCTCTAAACCTGTTTTGTCTAACCTCCCTGTACAGTCCGAACCCGAACCTATGCAGTTGGGGGTCACTAGACTGTCAGAGGCCGAAAAACAGTATAGGAGAAGGGAGGGGTTATGCCTATATTGCGGTAGAAAGGGACATATGATAACTAATTGTCCAGTGCGTCCGGAAAACTTCCGCACCTAAGAACCTTAAGGGGACAGATCTTAGGTGTGATGGAGTTGTCCTCTAACAAAAACAAAAGTAGATTCCTCCTTGAGGTATCTATTTCCCTTGATAACAAGAAGTTTTCTTGCAGTGCCCTAATGGACTC